ATAAATACACGAGGAGGAGCTTAGCTTCATCATCTGTCAGTACTCTTCCAGATCTGAAAGTCCAGTTTTACTTTTAACAGTAGGTACAGACATGTATAGTTTGCCCTAACAGTATGGTGCTTGTCATAATTATAATTTATTTGAGGTTGACTCTTCGATCAGGAACACGGTTCCCATGGGAAATGTGTCATGGTATCATTTTCAGACATTTCAGCAAAATTGGAAGATTACTTGAGTAGAAAACTTTGGTATGCAAGACAAGTCATTTTAATACCAGGTTTGAGGCAGCACATGCAATGGTTAGAAAAGACAGAATTCACAATGCAAAAATGCAAAGTTTATTTTCTTAAATAAAATACTATATTCATATCTATACAAATAATTATTACAACCATTAAAATGTTACATTTACCAATAAAAATTTCAAAACTTTAAACAAGAGCATGGTTCAGAATATTCACACCCTAATACAATGCATTTGTAAAAAGATGTCAAAATAAACAGGACCTATTCTTATTTACAACTGTAGGACAATCCTGATCATATTATACATATCTGCTCTGGATTCCATTACAAAACAAATTAGTTCCCATTAGAATTATAAACCAGGTGATTTACAGTAATAGGACACAGTACACAGCAGACATTGCTGGCATGGGAATAGATACAAATATTACACTATTGAAAAACTACAGTTAGGTTTTTTTTTCTGGTGACTGCTCTACAGTAAGCCTCTCACCCAGTGTATCTTTAAATAATTTGTGAAGGTAATTATGTTCGCAGGTTTTTCCACCTATTTTACCAAAATGTGTGTGCACGTGTGTGTGTGCATGTATGTGTGTGTGGGTGTGTGTATATGGCCTGCTGAACATGGAAGTGAATCTTTTCTTCACAGTAACACAACTGCAGCATTTTAAGCAGCAACACTGTCTGGTCCCTTTCTTCTTGGAAGATCAACAGTTCAACTCCCTTAAAGGTTACCAATATAGTCAAGTCCAGTGCCTCAATGACCCCACAAATGAGAATGGTTTTAAGACTTAAGGGATGGGGATAAAGAGATCCAGAGAAGTGAGGAAGAAGTGAGATGGAGGGAACTCTTAAGTTTCTGTAACAGAGTATGGTGTAGAGCTGTACACACAACTGAGCCAAAAAAAAAAAAAAAAAAAAAAACCCAAAAAGCAAAAACCCCACAACTTATGATCATCATTTTTAAAAGTGTTAAATTACAAGATAGAGATTCTATGTCTCATGAGATCTCCGGTGACAGATGATGCAGATTATCATCCAAAACAACACCAATTTGAGTATTTTATCCAATACTCTCAACCCAAGTTGGCTCGTGTTTATGAAGCATTTGAAAGCATGCCTGCCCCTGAGCCATACAGTTGACAGGGTTTGTGCCAGTATGGAAATAACGGTGTTGAATGACCACCACCTACAAGCTCAGACTTTAAAAGGAGTTTTGCTTCTAAGCAGTACATTTTTTACAAGATTGGCATCAAAGATGGCTCAGAGGATGATAAGGCAACAGTGAGAAACAGCTGTTCTTGTCTTCTAGGTGTTTGATTACACAGCACGTACCATTCTGGCTGGTCCTTTGCTATATAACAGAGGAGTGGGTGAGTAGTATGTTCCAATGGCTGGTCTTCGGACCAGAGGCACAGTTTCAAGTAAAGTGCAGTACCAGGATAGAGGCATGTGGGCAGAACTAGAAGCTCCGTGTCCAAGAAGGTCCTCATGCTGGACTGCCTCCATCTAAACTTGGTGTTCCCCCACAGACTCTGGTAAAAACACTGTCTGGCTCACATAGGAAGGGAGGAAGGGTAAAATGCAGAGAGAATACAGTTAAGCCCCCCCCCCCCCAAAAAAGGGACCCTTTTCTGTGGGGAGCATTTAGCCCAAAATGTACTTTAAGAAGAAATGAATTTCTGGCCTTTAATTTGCATATAGGTATCATAAAATCATCACTCACAGATTAACTTCATACTAGTTTATTTGGCTATTATTATTGCCCTCTGGATGTATACAACCATAAGCAATTATCTCCGGACAAAGGGAGAATTTATACAGACAACAGTACTATGACTTCCAGATTCCTAAAGATATCAACCCAAAGCTTTCTGATCTTAGTACCACCTTAGCGCTTTCTGAAACTCCTCCATGGGAAGAAAGGAAATTCATCAAAACAAGGAACAGAACTCTATGGTATATTCAAAATTTTAAATTAATTCTAATTTTGTTTCAAGAAATTCTTGTTACCTCTTGATAGAACAGGAGATACAGTGGTTCCCGAAGCCAGGAATTGGGAATCAGATATAGGAGCATGACTCATTATATCAAACAATGATCCAAGAGATGGATGGGCCCAATAAACCTTTAAAGGCAGAGGAGTAATCATCCTAAGGAAATAAACAGGCTCCCTGCCATCTGTCTGACATGGAGCAGATGGAAGAAAAAAGGAGTGTAGGTACCTACAGATCAGAGGAAGGGTAAAGCCAAGAAGATGCTGGTTAGTAAGTCTTTACTTTTTCTCAAGTTTTTAAAACTTCACTCCCATTAAAATGTGTTTGCACATTTTTTTTTTTGGAATATAAATTTTAGCCTTTCCATGACATAAATAATGTTAGAAGGCAAGAGCAAGGCAAATACATTTTCTTTAAAGCATTTAAATAATTTTATATTTTAAGAAGGCTGATTAGGAAAACAAACCCCAAAAAAGGCTGATTTTTAAAAATTGATCTTTATTGCAGTTCACCCTGATATGTAACTGGAAATTGCTGCAGAAGAATATTCCCTCCTCATTCTTCTCCTTCCACAGTTCTATTATGTTAAATTTTAAAAAGCATGATCACTGTGGAATATCACTCCTTACTTAGAAAAAAGGTACCATCCCTGGTCCCTCCAAAAGGTCTTCCAATATAAACAAAAATAAACTTTCTTAAATGGTATAAAATATCGCCCAAACAACCAGTATGTACCAAAAAAAAAAAAAAAAAGACATCAAACTTGATTTCTTTTATCCATGATTGACACATCAGAAATTTATACATGAGAAATCTGAAATTTTTCACCTCATTAGAAGCTACCGTGTTAAATCTTTAGAGAAATCACTTTCTCTAATTGATTCTGTGATCAACAACACTAAAAGAGACAGAAATAATTTAATTAATGATTCTCACTTTGATTCATACATTTGTATATGTTTGTGTATTTAAGAAATCAAAAATTTATGGAAATTGTTTTTACATTCTATAGACCCAGTTCTATATTAGCAAGCCAAGCCAAAAATAATGATAAATTTACTATAACCAAAATTGACTGTTTCCTGTCACGCTTTTGCCAAAAATTATATTCAGAGACCGCTAGATATTAAATAATGAATTTCCTCCCCAAAATCATGTAGCTCTGATTACCAAATACTTAATATACAGCTGGTAAATCTCACTCATGCTTTTCAATCAAATAAGATTACTATGCTCTGAACACTTTCAGAATTGAGTCCACATATACAACGATCTCTTACATACACATGCACATCTGTAAGATAACTAGAGCTACACATAAGCAGAAGCCAAACCATTTGCAGATGGTCACATCTTTCTTCAGATGGTCAAATAAGCTTTCCTGAAGGGTAGAGGCTGATTTGGGATCAAAGTACTATGTGCTTGGAATGAAAGCTCGAAAAAACGGAAATGCTATCTCTGAACTGGGCTGAGCGGAAAAAGAAAATCAATCCAACAGAGGAACAGCTGACAGTACCAGCCTTTCAGGCCTTTCTACTGCGAAGTTCAAATTGATCTTCTCCTTAGCCTGTTACCATTGTTTTAATTATATCGAACAGTGCCCAGTTCTTCAGAACTCAACAACCGCCACGCTGTGCGTGTGTGCACTTGTATGTGTATGTGAAAGGCAGAGAGAGTGACAGGGAGAGGGAGGGAGGGAGGGAGGGAGAAGAGCCCAACATAGTGAACACTATCCTTCTTGAAATTGGCAGGTTGGACCTTTCAAGTACAGAGAAAAACCCAAATGTCCTAACTTAAAACTCAGTTAAGGTAATTAGTTTAAAAACAAGCCACGAATCTCACTTTTTTCCCAATTACAAGTTCTAACTACTGTGTTTATCTGTTGTCTTATTTAAGTAACTCCTATTCTTCACCATGACCATTTTGAAGGTAAAAATACAGCTTTTCTTGTTTACAACTCTTTTTTTTTTTTTTGCCCCCAGGAGGCTGCTTCAGTGGGCAGCAGGAAGAGAGAGGAAGGTTTGGTAAATATAGTTCAAGAGGCACACATGACCCTTTTACTGAGTCTTCACTAGAGGTATTCGCCAGAGTTAACTGCTCTGACCCAGCCTGAGGAGGCATTTTTGAGGAGGAAATAAATAAAATAAAATGCTGGTCCTTGGGTTGCCTTTATTAACAGAGCAGACGGAACCATTTACACGTCTCTCTCCCACTCCATCCCCTATTTGGCAGAATATAACAACAACAACAACAAATAGGTTTGAGAATATGAGTATATATGGTTGTTTTCATAGGCTTTAAGTTTTCTAAATTCAATATATTAGTGTGTGTGTGTGTGTGTGTGTGTGTGCACATGTGTGTACAAAATTAACTTCTAAGGGGCTTTTAAAAACCCTGACATCAAGTTTTCCAATACTTCAGCGAGTCTCAGGTCACAATTTCCATTTCCAGATGGCAGGACAATTTTTGAAGGACCAGCTTATACTTTAAAATCTATGTCTGTGCACACACACACACACACACACATGCACATACATACACACACCTGAACATATACAAAGACAATTTTCTGAAGCACCATTTCACATCTGCCATCAGGAAAAATAATGAACAAATTCATCTTCTCATTATAAGTCTACTATGAAGGGTAATAATGTAACATACAATGCCATATTTTAAATATAAATATCAGTAAGTGAAAATACTGACAGAGCTTAAGACTCTGCTCAGAAATATTTAAAAAGTAAGGCTCAAATAATCGTGTAGATTCCAAACACTATTTACTGAGCAGTCCCTAATGATTAAACAAATATAAAAGAAATTATTTCAGGATCAAATGAACAGAATGAAGAGAGAATACTGAAACAAAATTTAATTGATGAAACAACAATCTTTAACTGAACACAAGCGAAACTCCACAATACAACTGCTTTACCCTTATGACCTGATGTAAAATGCAAGCGCAAAATGGAGAATGTCTATGTACTTTGCTTTTTAGATTGCTATTTTTAAGGCTAAGTAAGGAAGACCTTTGTGTTCTAGGGTCTTGGCACATTAAAAGATAAAATGGCTCTCTAATGTGAAGAAAAGACATTAAATTCAGATAACTGATGGATTGTTATAATTAAGAAGGAAGCCTCTACCTAAACCAGACCTTGGGAGTAAAGGCTGATTAAACAATTCATTTACCTGCTAACTGCTTGACTTTAACCATGGGCATTCATTCCATATTAATTCAACACCTGCCATGAGTAAGAAACTGTTCTAGATGTGGATATCGGCCAAGCATTTGGTGATGTGCCATTGCATTGCATCAAAGTGTCTGGATTTTTGGAGAGCAATTCAACTATCTCAAGTACCTATTTTACAAATGATCAACAATCAAGTTTAAAATCTGGGTTCTTTCCTACTACTCAGCACATGCCAAAAGGATCTCCTCCAACTTACAGCTGATTAGTATTTAGGGAATATAAGATTCCAAATCAAACTTGAAAATCTAACTCCGTTCAGAAAATTTAAAAAGCACACCGTGCAGTTAAAAATGAAAAGATAATTTGTTTTTGACAACCCATGATTCGCATCATTTCTGACGTGACTTCCCTACATTCAGAAGGTAACTGGAAATTGATCATACAAACACAGATACACACACACACGATCTCCCTCTCCATGTGCATTACGTGTGCACACGCACACAAACATATCTGTAGTCTCAGCCGATATATGGACATTTAGTCTATCAAAATTCAGACAGCTGAACTGCAGTCATGACCTAAAATATGGCTTATGTTGTGGGCAGGTCTGTTTGAGGACTGCTTGGAAGAGTCGGAGGCAGAGGAGTTTGCTATGGTAAGCAAAGGTGACATTGCCGAGCCATCCGGAAGAGCTGTAGCTATTTCTGGAAACAAAGATGTCATGTTAAAGTTGGACAAGTGAGAGTTGGTCATGTGCATTGGCGGCATATCAGGGAGCAGAGGAAAACTTGGTTGACCAAAACCAACAGGCCTGGGAGGAGACAGAATTGATCCAAATCGGTTATTTAGGCTTCCACTGTTGACTTTCTCAGTGCTAGGATTTGAGAACATCTGATTGGAAAAATACGGGATCGAAATATCATTGGACAGTGTAGGATGAGCAGGAGAGTACGGGGGATAGAAAGAGGGTAGAGTATTCTGGGGATCTACAGGGATGAGAGCTGGCGTTCGAGTGGCACTAGGCTGAGTTACCTGTGGAATGAAAGAAGTATTAGCATTTATTGGTGGATTCATGCCACCCTCAGGAATAAAAGGAAAACCGAAATTTTGTGATAGTGTATGCTGGTCAGGTGCCGAATTATCGTTAGGTATTTGTGGGCTATCGGGCATGAAACGAACAATACTTCCTCTCTTCTCTGTAGTGGGCTGCTGGCGTCCAAGAATCATACTGCCACTAGTAGACAGAGGAAGATGGGGAAGACTCGGATCAAAGACATTACTGTGTCTTTGGTTTCCAGAACGATTCCTTTCAGGCTGACGGATTTTGGAACCACTGCTGTCTTGCAAGAGATGCCTTGATCGCTGGGGAACTGAAGAGTTAGTTGGACGTACAGGAGGCCCTTGCTCAGCATTTCCGTGAGACACAGACGGATGGGGCAGAGCTGGCCTTGCAACCCCATGCATGTTGGTTGTGACTGGAGGGTTCATGTGGCCCTTGGTCCCATGACTGTCAGTTATCCTCATGGGATTGGACTTCTGCACAGAAACATTGGGACTTGTGTTTCGACCTTGAATATCTCCTGAAGAAGAAGAACTGGAGAAAGGAATATTCAAGGTGCTGTTCCTGGTGTTAATTGCACCTAGGGACATGTCACAGCTTTCCCTGTTCTGACTCTCGCTCTCTCTTCTAATATGTACACTTTCATGAGCTGGGGGACAATTATATTCAATGGCAGAGGATGGACCACACTGTGTGTTCCTCTGATGTTCCGAGAGTGGTCTCTGTGTTCCAAGGACCTGATCACCAAGGTGAGGGGCAAGTAAACTCTGCATGAAACTCTGGTGGCATGTGTTTTCACTGTCCCTTGGTGGGATGGCATTTCCTGCTGGGATACTCTGAACCGGTGGATAAGGTAATCTCTTTTGGCGGTCGATTGGTGGTGGACCAGGGTTTTGACTGATTCGAAAAGCCTGGGACTGCATAGTCCTCAGGGATGATACAGGGTTACCTATTTCATTATTTCTTGAGGACTGTACTTCAAAATTACTCGGGGGCTGTTGACTAGCTCCACTTGGTTTAAACGTCTGACAGTCAGAAAGGCGGATCTCCGGGGCAATGGGATGGTCCACGCGACCCTGCATATTGTGAAGGGCCAAGCTCTTATTCCTGGGAACATCAAGATAGCTTCTCATTTCAAGCTGATCTGAAACTCTGGAACCCTGAATTGATATGCCCATTCTCTGCTCGGAATTAGAAGACGTCTTTCCAATGAGTGCCTCAGCAGAATAACTTGAAACCCTATTTCTCTCTGGCCTGTGTGGAGCACAGGTCATGTCTGAAGGTCTCGTCACAATACTTGGCTGGGAAACCATTTGCTGCTCCATGCCTCTTGATGTCAGAAGCCTCTGCATTGGGTTATGCCCAGATACGTGTTCCGAAGAAACCCCTGAACCTTGCTGCCTGCTCCCAACATCCGGCTGCTGGTGCAGAAGATCTTGACTGAGATGGTTCTGGGGATGGTTATGGTGGTTCCGGCTGGCCGAAGGGTTTTCACAACTCTTCTCCGGCTGCGAACTTCCGAAGTGCTGCTGCATCTGTTGCTGCATCTGCTGATGGTGGGGGTGTGGCTGACCGCTCTTGGGCCGAGGCTGATCAGTTCCAGGGTGCTTTGGTTGCAAGGCAAGCTGAGAGGCCTGAGTGCCCTGAACAAGATTCCGCTTTTTCTGCATCTGAACTTCCTGTTGTAGAGTCCTCTGTTGGTGGACGTTATGGGGCTGAGAGTGGACAGAGCTCTCTGCGTGAGGTATGTGATGCTGCAGCTGATACAGGTGATGCCTCTCTCGCGCTGCTTGCTGCTGCTGCTGCTGCTGCTGCTGCTTTAGGTAGAGGTGGTTACTGTGCAGGTGGGACACCCCCTGGGCCGGAACATGCTGCTGCAGGGCCTGGAGATGTTGACTGGCCTGGGTCTGCTGCTGCTCAGCAACCGAATTCTGAGAGCTGCACTGCACTTCCGTTTGTCTCAATGCGGGGGCCACAAAATTGTTACTAGGTGGGAACAGTCGGGTGAGGCCGTCCCCATGTGCTGGGTTGCTGATGGGCACCACAGAGTTCGCAGAGTTGGGAGGGAGCTGACTGACCATCATCTGAGCCTGATCAGAAATGCTGTCTGGAGTTCGGCTCATCAGGGACATTGCCTCAAGCCTCAGCGGGGCTGGCTGGCAATGCTTCTGACGTTTAGCCGAAGACAATACAAGGTCATCTTGGACAGCACGCTTAGCAGAGTCTTTGCGGCTTTCCTGGCTTGGCTTTAAGAGGGGCTCTTGGATCTGTGGATTTGCTATGGTGCCAGTTATGGTGCTGAGCTGTTCCTGGGTATATTCGGTCATCAGAGCTGGTCCGGGAGGCTGACCGGTGTAGGAGCTAGATGCCACCGTGAGATTAACCGTTGCAGGAACAGTTGTTTGCTCTGAAGTTTGGGGCAAACCAGCACAGCTGACCAGAGGATGGCTGATGCTGCTCTGGTGGATAAGATTATTCACGCTCAAACTGGTGATGCTTGGTGACTGAGAGGTTGAAACCTGTAAAGAGGCACTGGATGTTTTCATTCCCACAGAACAACTTGGTTTCCCAAGGGGCCGATCCACTGTGGCTTCAATCGAATCCTGAGAAGTAAATTCATTTGGTGTTGCTTCTGCCTGTCCTGCGCCACCCTCTTTAGATACCTGTGTTTTGAAAGGCTGGTCCCCCTCTAGAGGCGATGCTTCGGCAGGCTTCGAAGTGACGTCCCTCATGTCAGCCTGGCTGCCAGCTCTTCCCTTCTCAAGGCTGTCCTGGTCAAAAATAGCTCTTGCCGCAAGAGCGACGATGTCAGTTTGCTCTACAAAGGTACAGCTGTCACACGTGTTGGTCGTTGTACTGCTGCTGACATCCTCTCTAGTCGTTTCAGGAAGCATGGACGCCACTGAGAAACTACGGCTGCTACCAGAGCTGGTTGACATGGGAGAGTCCGCCTGTCTGCTGACCAGCAAGGAGCCACTGATGACCTCCGGATCAGGGACGCACGAGTGAGGCGGCCCCGGGTCTCTATCGTCACTGCTCATCAGTAAGAGCTCCTGTTTGGGATGTAAATCGACACCTGCATCAACCAATTTAGAGTTTTCTGAAGAAAAGTCAGGATGGTCCACTTGGACTGAAAGAGAGAGTTTCTGAGGGTCCTTCTCTTTCTCGAGACCAGAAAGCAGTGCAGTCAAACCCGGCCCCTTTAAGAGACCTGTGGCTTGCAACGTATCAGGTGAATCTTGCTCTACCCCGCAAGGTTCCTCAATGACCTCTACCTCAGAGACACAGTCCGTACCGGCAGTGCTGGCGGTAGACGACAGACCCGAAACCTGAGAAACCAAAACGTGGGGATCATTCGGAGGCGGAATCGACGCGTGAGCTGAAGCGCAGGATTTGGCAGCATCTGACAGCGCCAAACTAGTTGCTGGCTTATCCTGAGGGGCCTCGCGTTGCAAGATGGGGGCAGAATCTTTGGATTGTGCTGGGGCCATGACAAAATGTTCACTCGGTACAGATTCTTGGGAGGGAGAGCTAGTCTCTTCTGCTGACTTAGATTCGGGTAGAGATTCAGATACCACTGACTCAGAATTCAGAACGTCCACAGAATGTGCACCAGAAACACTTACACTGTTTGCCTGGGACCCGGCGACAGACGGTAACCCAACAGGGAGGCTTTCCAGCAGTCCGTCATTATTACATGATGGTTCCGCTGTGGCGTCAGCGCTGGCGCAGTCAAACTTGCCCACGTCTCTGACTGCATTCAGGGGGCACGCCGACTTGTTAGCTGCTAAGTGTTTCTTGGCACCTGGCTTCTTATTCAACCTTTTCGACTTCACATTAGGTAAACAAGCTACGGCGTTCACGGAGGGAGTAGTTCCTAGACTGTAAGCACTGGGTAGTGTGGCCGAATTATCAGTTGTCACAGGAGATGCCACAGTTGTTGTTAATGAAACATTGTTAACTGGGGTGGTCTGACTATTTGCAGCAGTCGGAGGATTGGCAGGCTGGCTAATAGACAACTGTACACAGCTTTGCCCAGCCATCTGCGATATGCTTTGATTGAGGCTGGCCAAAGCTCCAAACGTATTCAGGGCAACGTTGGTATTTGGATCTTCGCTGGTGGTGGGTTGGATAATTTGCATAGGGGTTTGATTTGTAGTTCCTGATGAGGACATCACAGGCTGCAAAGCAAAGAGCTGTCCATTTAAAGAAATGGTTTGAGGCTGCTGTTGGTTTGACATGGTAACAGAAAAAGTTTGTGTTGAACTAGATGTTGCTAAAGATGAAGGTCTTGGTAAAATATGGACAAGATGCTTTCCTCCAAAAGTCTGTGGGGTTGAAACAGTCTGCACTGAATTATTAGACCCTATTAGAGCACTGGCTCCATTGACAGGGAGTCGAACAGAACCAGGAGGTGGAGCAGAGAGGAGCGGCAAGGGGTTCTGACTAGTTGCCTGTATGATCACTATCTGTTGACCCACAGTTTGGTTGGGAACCTCTGCTCTCATCACCGCTGGGCAAGGGGTCGTGCTGGGGGGCTGGAGAATGATAACGTTTTGATTACCTGGAGCTGTGTTAACAGCCGACCCAACGGGCTGAGCCATCTGAATAACCTGCATTGCTGAATTCAAAGGAAGGATATTTTTTGGAGGCTGAGATTTAACTTGTGGTTGGGCAATCAGCGGCTGCATAGGTAAAGACGGGCAAGAAGGCAAGGTTACAACCACTTGCTCAACTGCCTGCCCATCTGCTGGAAAGGAATTACTCAAGTTAACACCTGTAGCGACGGGTCTCCCATGGTTGGCTGTGGTAGGGCTGGGACCAGACTCATTTACTACTGGAGTCACAGCAGAAGACGGTGTCTGGCTCAAGGGTTGAATAGTGTTTCCCGCCAGTTGCAGAGTAGTCCATGTTGTCTGTGTGTTTCCAGCGGAGGAGATTCGGGTAAGGCTATTCATGTTTTTTAAATCTGAAGCGCTAACACTTGAAGAAGGCAAAGAACAAGAAAGTGTCCAACTACTATCCAAAGGGCTTGCAGAGAGAGTGCTTACGGGAGCGGCGGTCTTCCCTCCTCCGGGGGCAGAGGGGGCCACCACTGCAGTAACAGCTGCAGAGTCTGCGCCCTTGCTAATGCTCACTGGACAGGAATCACCTGCAGACCTGGGGGGCTGGGAGCAGACTGTGGTGGTAACTGAAACAACGAAGGTGGTTTGAAAATCATTTCTGAAATCCTGTATGCTCAGGCAGGACTTACTTCCATGGTGTACTTTCGCAGCAGTTGCCAAGGAAGCGGTGGGGATGCTTGTGGCACAAGGGACTGTTTTCCTCACTAATTTGGGGCTCTCTTGCCCATTCCTATTTTCAGGAGAATTCTGATCATTCAGACATGTGTGCAAGGGACGATGTTGGTGGGCTTCAGGCCCAATGGGAACAGCGATCAGTGAGCCACTGGTGGCACCAAGCACACTCGATTCACTTTCAGAGGTGGAAAGCTCGAGAATGTTTTGAGCAGAAATGGTAGCAGGAAGACAAAGAGGAACAGGCTGGCTGGCCAATGCAGAAACTGTGGTTTGATGCCATGGCTTGTTTTCAGGAGGGTAAACTCCAGAAATAGACACAGGAGTCACCAGATTGCAAGCCCTCTGTACCGGTGCCACGTTGGCGGTCTGCTTTTGTAAATTATGACCAACATTAAAGGTTATCCCCTGAACAGCTGTTCCCTGGCTATTTCCACCAGGCTGACTCCCATTAGAATAAACAATGATATTTTTTTGAACCTGATCGCTGGGAATAACAACAGAGACCTTTGAGTTTTTAAGATTTCCTTTCCAGTGGATTGTGGGGTCATCATATAGGCATATGTCATTTGCTTTCAGTAATTCGATATATCGGCCATTTTCTTTTTGAATTTCTTCCAGTTGTTTACGTAGCTTTTTAATTTCTTCAGCTACAATATTAAAAATAAAAATGAAACAATTACCTGTTAATGCCAGTATTTACAGTAACTTAAGAAAAAGCTGTGTGCTAACTACTCAGTTCTAATTCTAGTCTTTCTAAATAGCTCAACTGAGAATGTTCAGTTCTCTTCTAAAGCAAATTCTTTCTCCTTTTTACAGTGGTATGTCAAGCCTCTATTCTATCCTTTTTAAAAAATGTATCGTTGACGGTCAATGACCCAAAGGTCCAAAATTACTCACAATGTAGAAATCTCAAAATTCCCAATTCAAAAATTCCCAATAGGGCAGCTCCAAAGGCAAAAGGAGGAAAGATATACTGTTATCATGGTAACGTGCCAGGAAAACAGCACTGAGTATCAATATGATAGGCTGTAACAGCAAACATTATTTGTGGTAGTAGTGGGTAGTCCCCTTTATAAATGGCTTTAGACTCCTATTTCATTCGGAAACAACAGAGCCCAAGTGAACGCGTGAAAGTAAAGTAGTAGAGTACCGACGAGAGCATCAATAATGGAACTTGAATTTTCCTTGGGAGCGCCAAGATACATACACTGCTGTCACACCCCACTCTTTCTTTCCAAAGGGGAAGAACTTCCCCCACAGATCCTATGACTGGGGCAGCCTTGGCTGCTGTTGTTTATGCTCTGTGACCCCACACATCCCACCTGTCTTGCCACTCTCCCTCCACCAAGGGCGGCCAATCTTCAAAGCCAGTGCCCTCTGAGGGGGCCTGAAATAAAAAGTTCTGTTATGATGAGGATGAGTTGAGACTAGCAGATTATTCTTCTCAGACTTTTAAACTAAGAGACACAGAAGAAAGATGCCAGTGTGCCATGAACATCAGAAATAACTGGACAATTATTATGGACCCAATAATAATGATGACTGTTCTCACTTACTACACACTTACTATAAGCACTTTTCATTCATCGTCTCATTTAACAACAATAATAACAATGACCACAGCAATGGGTAACATTTACTATATGCCAGCTTGACTCTAAGTACTGTACCTGCATTATCTCTTTTAATCCTCATAACAACCATGAGATGGGAACTACCTATTGTCATCAATATTTTGAGATATGAGAAACAGACTCAGGGTAATCACATAAATTTGTCTAAAAATCAACCACATACATGCTAGGATTATCTTCATTTTAAGAAAAGGAAACTGAGACTGGGAGAGGTGAAGTAATAAGCACAGGTACTGATTGCGTCAGTGAAGAGGAGACTCAGCCCAGGTGGGCCTGACTCCCAGGGCCACCGCTCAGACCACAGCGCAGCCTGTCATGTGGGCAGTGAGCATGTGGGGAAGCTGCTGGGGGAAGAAAAGAGAAAAGAGCAGAGGCACCAAAAAGAATCAAAGAAAGGCTGGTGACTTAAGCTACCTCAAGCCAGGGCCCACCTGCTCAGTGTTTCCTGAGCCCCAGGCAACTTGTATTCTTCGAACAGGCTCCCTTTTCCCTGAGGTAGCTTGACTGCCTCAGCCTCTAGGCTGTGAAACCAAAGGAGCTCTCCTGAGAAAAGTCCACATAGCATTCTGGCCTTGACACCCCTTCTGTGGAGTGCCTCAGAACGGTTACCAAGTAAGTATTATGACAAGGCCTGAGTTGTAAAAGACAGCTGACGTGGGGAGGCGGGAGGGTAAGTGGACATCTAACTTAAAGTAAGCAATGAGAATTCAGAAGGCTGGCCTTCCGGATATACAATGAACACAGCCCAACGCTGCCCCCACCTCAGCAAATTCTACCTTTATTCTTCTCCTTTTAAGGTGACCTACTGAATTGTCACAGGAAATTCTTTCTCTGCTCTAATCAGAGCCATAAATAAAGGACAATTCAAACTGCCTACTGCTCTGAGCTTTACACTTGCTTGGGATATTTTTCTTTTCAGCTGTTATAAAAAACTGAAAATTTTTTAACAATGTGATTATCTAAAAAATAATGACTAATAAAAATCAAATTCCATTAAATGATCAGGCAGTCTGAAACACACATTACATGCAATATAAACAATTATGAATGGAATGTTTTGACCTTTTGAGTTAATTCACAGCTAAGTCTTGGCCCCGGGAGTATCTTTATTTTATTTTTAAGTTACACTGAGCAGGACTCTCCCCTATGTCCCCTAGCTGGAAGATCCAAGTGGAATAAAAGAGATCCACCATTATTTGTCTCATGAGTTAAGCAAACACAAAGTACACAGAAGAGTCCAAAATCAAAATTCTGTATGCCTGAAAGATTAGAGTTGTTCAAGGAGCGGGTGGGTAGGTAAACTACGATGAATTTATTTTACAACACTATTCTCTCAGACCCACTGAAGATACAATCTTAACAATGTTTCTGGTCAAAAAAAGCCTTCTGTATCCACTATAAGTTGCCCTGTGACACAAAGACCTGAACACTGAACAAAAAGAATCTTCAAATCTTTACCTTGTTCATTGTTTCCTCCATTAAGCAGGAGTTCATCATTTTGCCTTTTCAATTCTGTTATATATTTAAAGGCTTGGTCCAGGATCATATTCTTGCTCTGCCAAAGAGAATTAACCATTTAAAAGTTTCACTGAAGAGTAAGAACTTGCCAAAAGAAACTTAGAGCTTTGGTTTTATCACATATATGTGATATGCATCTTTTCAAAATTAAACAAGCACCATATTCAAATGCTTCTACTGTTCATTTTTCATTTACTAAGTATTTATTGCACATCTACTATGTGTCAGGTTCTGTTCTAAGCACTGGAGATATAATAAACAAAACAGACAAAATTCCTGACATGCAGGAATATACAAGTTTTATATATATATTTATACACACACACACACACACACACACACACACACATATATATATATTTATATATTTATATAAAATCAGGTAGTGCTAAGTGCTATGAAGAAAAAATAAAGCAGGGTAAAGAGGAGGCCAGAGATGGCAGAGGTCACTCTGTCCTACGGACTGAATGTTTATGAACCCCTGTAACTCATGTTGAACCCCTGATCCCTGATATGATGGTATCTGTAGGTGGGCCTTTGGGAGGTAGTTAGGTCATGAGGGTAGATCCTTCATGAATGAGATCAGTGCCCTTAGAAGAAAAGATATGAGAGAGGTGATCGTGTTCTTTGTCATGCGAGGACATAGCCAGGAAAAGAACTTACACCAGGAACTGATGTATGCTTACACTTTGCAGCCTCCAGAACTGTGAGAAGTAAATATCTGTTGTTTAAACCACCCAGGCTATGTTATTTTTCTTATAAGAGCCCAAACTAAGATACTGTACTATAATCTATTTTGCATGGATAGGCTGGAGAAGGCCTCTCGTTAGACAAAGCAAAAACCTGAAGGAAGTACCAGGAAGTATGCCCCATGGATACCTGGAGGAAAAGGCTCCAGGTATTAGGATCAACAAGGACAAAGGCCCCCAAGCAGGGCTGTGTTCACACACTGGAGGAATCATGGTGAAGTGAGAGGAACTAGAGTGAAGTATATAGGGGAAGAATGGTAGGAGGAAGAGGCCAGAGAGGGCTTTCAAGGCCATGTGAAGATTTTAGACTTCTTTACTCTATGAACAATTATTAAAAATAAAACATAATAAATGACATTCCTTTTGGTTTTAGTTCTCTAGACCTTATTCCAGAGGCAACTGCCATAAAGTTACTTGTATATCCTTCCAGAAACATTCTATGCTAATACAGGGATTTTTTATCTATCCAAAAAAAAAAAACCAAACCAAACCAAAACAACAACACAGAACAGATAAACAGTATGCTACATTGTTCTTTTTTATTTAAAAATATATCTTGGAGGGGTACCTGGGTGTCTCAGTGGGTTAAAGCCTCTGCCTTCGGCTCAGGTCATGATCCCAGTGTCCTGGGATCGAGCCCCGCATCGGGCTCTCTGCTCAGTGGGGAGCCTGCTTCCCCCTCTCTCTCTGCCTGCCTCTCTGCCTACTTGTGATCTCTGTCAAATAAATAAATAAAATTTTTTAAAGAAAAATAAAAATATATCTTGGAGATATTTCCATGTAGAGTTTAGATATCTATGTTATACTTTCTAAAGGCTGAATTTATTTTATTTTTGAGTCCATTACTGACAACTATTTAATCTGCATAAGAGGCATTTTGTTTTTTTATTATTCAGCTATTAAAAATGTTGCAGTGAATGTTTAATTTCTATTCCAGTATGTATATTATTAAATATCCCCAGTACTTTCTCAGATAACACTTTTCAGGTGGAATTAGTGATTCAGGGCTTTGGTTCACAAAGTTACAATTCTGGGCTTCTTAGATTGAGTCCCAACAGAGACCCAATATAATCTAGGAAATATTTTACTCTAGAGAGAAAAGATAAATATTATCCTTTCTTAAAGCAAGAGTTGAGACAAAGGCAAAACATGATAATGCCCATCTACTTGCCTCTCTACTGCAGACAGGGCTGAGGACATGTAGCAACAGTGAAGAAAATCTTAATCTACTTGGCTTCTGGGAGCCAAATACTGACTTCCATTGCACATTCTAGGACAGCAAGGAAGTTGAATGACTATAGTTTCCTTTCAGAGAAACTTGTAGGAATGAAAACCAAGAGCAGGAAAATAAGATATTACTGGGCAAACACCAAAATTTCCTGAGAAACTCCTGTACATTGACATATGGAGGAAGGAAAACAATCAGAAGACAGTTCCTGCCCTTAAATTTGCTATCATGTTAAGGAAACTCAAAGTACATTAAACACACACACACACACACACACAAATGAAAAAACACACGTATGCAAGACTAAGTTCAACCCTGTAGAAGAGAATGAAAAGAAAGTGAAGCGTAAGACCTTGCCAAGGGAGATGGCGTTGAGAAGCAAGGAAATTGATCTGGCCCTCTGAAAGCCTGGAGAGGTACAGGCCGGACCGGGAAGCTCCAGCTACCACAAAAGGTGGGGTAAGGTATGGGGTTAAACTGAAGAGACTGGTGGAAAGACTCTTCTTACGCAGTAATAAAAACCCCCTCTCTCCCACAGACACATCCTCCGCAGCTGGATGACTTCCCCTTCCTGTACCGATGCAGGAGACAAGTTCTGTAAAATCTGAACTAGAGAATTTTGGCCTCAGAGATGGTTGGCACAGAAGTGGACAAGATGAGGCAACTCAATGAAGACAGGAGGGTAAAGTAAAATTCTGCCTCCTAAAGCATGAGACTCTCCAGCACCCTTTCCCCAACCAGCTCCCAGAATATGGCAACCAGCATTATACTCCTCTTCCCACCCTTCCCACTCCTAGACAAGGTGCTGAAGGATTCTTCTCTGGAAAATAAAAGTTAATAGCTAGTCCCAAAAGTAAACAAGCTACCAATACTGATATTTTTTAGTGCCACAAAAACAATAATACTAGATTACCATGTAATCACTCAACAGTTAGGGCACCAAAAGTCAAGCCTATTCAATCAGCTTTTTAATGCCTCATTCTCAAATATGAGAAAACAGCTAAGTATCACTAAAATTTAAAGAAAGTCCCCAAAATGAAAGACAAAACAACAAAACAAAGGGGAAAAAAAGAAAATTAGAAGAAACAAAAACAAGAAAAAAATTTTTAAAAACCTATGTAACATTCTCAGAGATGACATAATGTTGTATTCATGAACCAAACATACAATATGAAAAAAAAACAAAGAGAATAAGAAAAAGACTCTTGAAAGTATTAAATTAAAATTAAAAGTATGAGAGCTGAAATTTAAAAACAGAAGAGTTGGAAAAGACCAGTTGAGACTGAAGAACGGCAGAAGGTTCCAGAAGTAAAGTCTCAAAGGAAAAGAGAAAACAGAAATTATGTGATACACTTGACTATGCAGTAACCCTAAAGAGACTGTTGAAAGTGTGGAAAGAATTAAAGAGAGGTACAGAGAGAGGTGCCTAGGAGGCTCAGTTAGTAGAGCATGGGACCCTTGATCTCAGGGTTGTGAGTTCAAGCCCCACATTGGGTGTAGAGCTCACTTAAAAATAAAAAATAAATTTTTAAAAATTTAAATAAATAAATATCAAGATTGGCATATAAACAGGTAAGCAAATGAAAAGTGAGGCAATTATTGACCCCAAAAAACACAAAAGATACATACAAGACAAAACATAGTAATAGTATTCCCTCTTACAATTAACCATATTTTCAGTCTAAAAAACAAAAAACTGAATACCAATTTAACCAAAAGTTTGAGTAGAATTATATTGGGAGGATTAGACAAGGTGAAGCCAAAGGAAAAGAGTAAGAAAACAATAGATAAAATCTAAAATAGAAATATTAAGATATAGTAATATAAGCTTATTATTTCAAAATATAAAGGTTATTTCAGAAGAAAGAGTTGAGAATGGATGCCTTTAAGTTGTTGTACTGGACTTGGGAAGCAAGAAGTCCAGAGGCTCATATTGTTGTTGTAAGGTTTTTAGTGTTATTTGTTATGTTTATATATTAATTTTCACATATACTAATTTAATTAAAAATTAACCAAAAGGCTAAGACAAATTATGAAATCCCATTATAATGAAACACTACATAACCATGAAAAAGAAAGGAGATCATATGAGGAAGGGTATCTGTAACTAAAAGTCTAGTATATACCAGTGAGTGAAAATGACAAGGCAGGTTATAAAACAGCACTTGGTGTCTAGATATAGATACAGATATATAATCATAAAGCAATGTGTAACAACATGTCTAAGATGTGTAACAATAATAGTTATAATAGTATAATAGTCATAACAGTAGTTATAACTTGGAAGTAGCATGTCAATTTATTTTTCAAACATTTTTATGCCTTCCATATTGTTTCCATTTTGTTTTATTTTGTTTTGTTTTCAGTAAGCACATTTTGTCCTCATTATCACAGGAAACAAAAAGCTATATTCATGAAGGAATACTGTCCCATTTAAAAGCTGAGATTTATGTACCATTGGAGGTTGATAGGGCACAGAGAATAAAATAGAGATACTAGGAAGTATCTTGGAAGATACTTGGAAGATACTAGGTAAGAATTTAAGACAAAAAAATATGATTGACAGTTTGGTGAGTCAAGATGGCGGAGAAGTAGCAGGCTGAGACTACTTCAGGTAGCGGGAGATCAGCTAGATAGCTTATCTAAAGATTGCAAACACCTACAAATCCAACGGGAGATCGAAGAGAAGAAGAACAGCAACTCTAGAAACAGAAAATCAACCACTTTCGGAAAGGTAGGACTGGTGGAGAAGTGAATCCAAAGCGACGGGAAGATAGACCGCGGGGGGAGGGGCCGGCTCCCGGCAAGCGGCGGAGCAACGGAGCACAAAATCGGGACTTTTAAAAGTCTGTTCCGCTGAGGGACATCGCTCCAGAGGCTTAACCGGGGTGAAGCCCACGCAGGGTCAGCGTGGCCTCAGGTCCCGCAGGGTCACAGAAGGATCGGGGGTCTCTGAGTGTCGCAGAGCTTACAGGTATTAGAACAGGGAAGCCGGCTACAGAGACAGAGCCGAGGAGTAAGCTCTAAGCTCGGGGTTACCTTGAACCGGTTGCAGGCTCG